TTTATACCGATTTCTTTACAGTGGCCAATGCTGCCATAACGCAAGCTGCAGCTACATTTGCAATGAGGGTGCCAAATGGAACCCACTTCAAGTGCTGTCTATCTTTTCCAAGTCCATGTCCGTTAAGTCGGGCTAGGAACCATCTGAGCCAGACGCCAGGGGCTGCAACTAAGCAACCTAACCATAGTTGAGCCTCACTCGTTCTTTTGTCAAACTCTTTTACAAGCAGTGTGGAACTTGCAGTGAGTAAAGCCACAAGCAACAGAAGCATCAAGGTCATAGACACTATATGGCTCTTGAAGGTGTTAACTATAAGACAAGAGTTTCTTTCCTCAGAAGAAGCTCTTCTGTGAAGAAGCCATCTGAAACCTTTGGCTGTTTCAACCCCGAGAATGATGGAGTATGATGTGAGAAACAATCCTGCAAAAGTTGTTTATGCTATAAGCAAGCATGTTCATCCATATAGGTGGTGAATTGGAGATTTTGAAAGGGGAATGTTCTGTTTTTTACCTAATAGAAAGCCAAGCACGGCGTAGACCCATTGGCCATCGGCACTAAGATCCAGCATTTTCTGATTCCAACCGCTGAATGTTGTGAGGCTCCCCAAATAACCAGTCGATAATCCTATCGCCAAAAATTCAGAAACTCTTGCTATATCTGCTTTGAATACGACGCCAAACCAGCCCATCAAGAATGATCCTACCTATAAGGAATCATGTGTAGAAGAATTATGTTCCGAGAGATAGGTCTATAAAACGGCGGTTCTTCGAGATACATGCATCATGACATTTACCATGTTAGAAGGAAGATCAAGGTACAAGATGCTCCCATCACTGGTTACTCGAGCACCAGTTGGTCCAAACAATTTCTGCAGCAAATATCTCGTAATAGCCTGTTCATTTGTAGACAACAAGGGGATTACAATGATTAAAACCAAAACAAAGCACAAACAGAGAGCCAGAAAGAAACATGGAAAGTGAGCTTATCACAAGAATAAAACCTCAAACTTACCCCAAGAATCCCAAAAACAGCCAAATGAATGAGGCACGATATGTATGCCAAGGACTTTGGTAACACCCACTCTTCCTGCTTTCCCTATGTCAACCACGAGCTATCATAAATCAAAACATTGAAACTGAGAAACCAACACTAACAGTTTTAATGTGACCGTAAAAAGTTAGAGATGGTCTCTACCGGTTTCTTTATCTCAGGTGACAAGAGTGACTTGGTAGGTAAAGGAGATGGTGTTATGTCCACAGGCAAAGGTTTGATTACAGATCTTGTGTTCAAGGCTTGAAGGTCATGTAACACACCTTGTTCTTGTCCAGAAGTATCATCATTAGTCCCTTGTTCTATGAAGTCATCGGCAGACAAACGACTGCTTCTACCAACACTATGCCTTCTACGAAGTGAGCGATCCCCAATATCCCCAGCCTCTGAGACACTCTCACTATCGATGTCATTGTTAATCAGGAGAGGCAGGCTACGTGATAAGCTTAAAGAAGAGCCTACACTGCTCTCCCTACTAAAAGACTTGGTTCGGTAGGGTTCTTGATGGCTTTCACCAGAATCCATAGGCCTTGTAGCCAAAACACAGAACTTCTTACCTTAAAATCCCGCGTTGACACCAAGATGAAAATGTTGTTACCTGCACGTACTTTAAGCCATAGCCCCACACATGAAAGAAAGTTCAAAAATGTGGCAATTGCTTGTCAAAGTGTAGCTGAACACTTCAAAACTATAGATACTAAGAGAAACCCCAAAAAATTCAACAAAAAAACTTTCTACAGAATTTAAGTTTATGTCTTTCTACAGAAGCAGAAAACGAAATTCCTCAAGAACAGTATCCAGATATGTCTTCCACTACCAGGACAAATTCAAAAAAGACAATGTTCCAAAAACTAAACTTCAATCCCTAAAACAAGTGATAAAAATTTCGCTTTTTGGAAAAGTGGAAATTGAAAAAAGGGCACACTAAAATAATCACTTTGTTTAAATAGAGAAAGCCAAAAAAAACCTTTAGAAAATTCTACAGGTGGGAAAGACGAATACTTTTGATAGATTGAGGACCGATCTTGATGCTTTGGAGAATGCTTTTTTTAGTGCATTTGGAAAAAAAATCGGCAGCTTTACCTATAGAGAGAAGTCAGTCTCAAATCAATTTGATCCCAAAAAGTCGTCGGTGGAGAAATCAAATTCTGGAATCAGATTCCGCCGCCTTCCGGATACGATAGGAGAAATAGAGAATTACGTAACAATTTCTGGAAACACGAAAGAGCTTTTGTTGGAGATTAGGGAGACTGTGTTCGTTATAATGAAAAGGGTTTATCGTTCCATTTTCCTCGGAGATGTACACAAATTCAGTTTCGTTTCATCTAATGGGAAATTTACAGAATTATCCCAAGAGTTTTTTTTTTTTTTTCCGGCTAAAAATTTAATAGATTTCAAATCCGACTACGTTTTCATTGATTTCAAATCGAGTTTACAAAGTGAATATACAAAATTTTCAGAAAACAAATTATTACATAAGTATGCGCCATATATTGAGAAAGATACATCAAAAAAATGAATTTAACGATATTTTCTATAGAAAAATCTTATTCGCTAACGGGTCAATAAATCCGTTATTTTCCTCTTCTGTATTCGATCTTGGTGCTCTCATGTGGATCGTGTGCGTGGATAGCATCTCTTGGCTAAATCTCCAAATTGCACGTCCCATGACAAAACCTAATGTTTGTGACATTAATTATGAAATGTCGACATTATAATACCAAAACTTTCGTATCATAGTCATTTTAAAAAAATTTGACTTTGTTTTTCCACCCATTTGATCCCAAATTTGCCTTATTCTTTCGAGTAGAATGTTTATACCTATGATTCCGGGATAAAAAATTCAAATGATATCTCCACACCATGGGTTAGGAAAACAATCACCGGTTGATAACCGGAAATATATTAAGAAAATATATCTCCAAATGATATACGTCAGAAATATAAATAAAAATATATTTTGAACAATATTTTTGTATTCATTGAAAAAAGAGATAAAAATGCAATAAAATGAAAGAAATAACAACGATCAAGTTGGTGGAGTGGAAATGAGAATATTCTAAAGGAATAATAATAACGTTTATATACAAATACAATATGGCGGCTCTTATTAGCAACCTTTGTGGATAAATGGACCAGAATGAGCCGTCACACTTACGTTTCTCCTGATAACAAATATCTAAACGAATCAGAACACTCCACGTTTGCTCCGGGGCCCACTCGAACCGCCCCTACTTGGCATGGACGCAAATGTTTAGGCAGGTCAACGTCAAGGACTTATTAATTTATGGTTAATTACCATTGCGTCTTAACAAAATCTTATAAACACGACAATTTATCTAATCTCTCCTTACTTCTGTTAAAGCTTAATAAGCACTAAAAGATATTTTATGGGTGGTTGCATCATGCCATTATGGATTTTCATGTATTAAATCCACGATAAATTCTAATAAACGGATTAATCAATAATCAATACCTATATCTATCTATTCTCAAACTTTGTCGAATTTTAGTTCGAATTGTAAATTATCTCTTATAAAAAAATGATTATTATAAACAAAAAATTATTCCCCGGCCAAGAAAAACAAGATTGAGATGTACATCTTTATATATTTTATATGGGTCAATTTATCAGATATTCATATTGGACTCAGTAACAAAGAAAATAGCAGTTATTTTAATAACTAACTAAATGACCTAATAAATTTCTAATTTTGCCCCTTTCTTCGTCTTCAATTTCAGACCATGCCATTGTGATGTTGGAGCTACATCATCCGATTGATTCTGTTCACAATCACCACAACCATCGCGACGATTTTCGAAACCACCGTCGCTATGTCAAAGCGACGGCCAAGATCGCGATTTTCTTTTCCACCGCCATGTCGAAGCCACGACAACTACCACGATGTTGAAGCCTCCGCCGTAACCACACCCACAGATTCCTTCGGCATCATGTTGATTCCAATTGTAATCACTACCATCGCAACCACTATTTTCGAAACCACCATCGTCATGCCATAGCCACAGCCACAGCCACAACCGTGATTTTCTCTTCTCCGCCGTAACCAAAACTACAAATCTCACGAGACTTGAAAAAGAAAATTAAAGATTAACACAAAGGGTTTTTTTGTCTTTAATACATATTACACACGGAATATCGTAACCCAACATTTGCTATGGTTCTACGAATGTCTAGTGCATAGAACGCCTAATCGGAGCCTAGACGATTTAATAGGCGGTTTAAACGTTTTACAAAAATACATAATATATTAGATATATATATA